AAAAAAAAAAAAAAAAAAAAAAACTCTGGTTAGAGCTATGCAGGGGTTATAAGAGTGTTCTGAGATGTTTTCGGAGAGACATGACAGGTTTGTGGAGGTCAAGGAAGGCTCCTAAATAAATCACACTTGAGCTGAACTCTGAAGGTTGTCATCTAGGCTGAGGAGACAGTGGAAAAGACGTTCCCCACAGAGCCATGTTCTGGGGAGGGAGGGGCAGCACCAGTACAAGCAAAGGCCCTGAGATAGGAAGGAGGATAATACTTTTAACAAATCAAAGAACAAAACCGTGGACAAAGGGCAGAGGTGTGGGAATGGGGTGGGTGGGAAACAGTTCAAGACCTAACTGGAGTTGCCAGATGGCGTCAGGTCCTGCAGGGCTTAGAGGAGGGGTTTTACTCAGAGAAGTGACAGGATCAGATCTGCATGCTTTTAAAAAGCTCACTCTGCATGCAGCAGGGTGAACAGATGGAAGGGGGCAAGAGAGTATGTGGGGAGATTAGTTAGGCTAGTTAGTCTATTTCAGCAGTCCAGGTGAGAAATGATGGTACCTTGGGTGTCTCATGAATAGGAAAAAACAGATTTAAAGAGTTACATAAAAGTAAGGAGCTTGTTCTGGTTTCTGGGCCCAAAAATTACCACTTAAACAATGGAGACAAAGAGAATTACATCAGATGATTCTCAGTCTGGATAGCAAGAATGCAATTATAACCACAAAAACCAATTCCTAGTGGTTCCCACATATTAGAAATGGTGACCCAGATATTTGAGGCTTTCCAGGCAGAAAGATAAAGGAGAAACAGATCCCTGATCAGGGACTCTGGGGTAGCACTCAGGGACCTTGCCTAATGACTAAGAGTCTTGGGTGAAGCAGCGAAGTAGATACCTGCCCACACCAGTTTTTTCTCATGAATTTATGCAGGTTGGGGTATTAAGCAAGGCCTGCATGAGGGCAGGGAAAGAGCTGGTATAAGTGAGTTTCTTTGTCACCTACTGTGAGTCCATCCATCTTTCTGATTAGGCCATATCCTACAAAAATTTACTATTCTACACAGCCTTCTCAGGCATTCACAGAATGAGGGGAAGAAATGGAAAAATAATTCATTTTATCTCAGGATAAATCTCTCTCCTGGAGGAATATTTAATTTAGTAAATATCAACATATAAGAAAACCAAGCATAAGTCACTTGCAGAATGAATGTTTGCAAATTTTTTTTTTTTTTTTTTTAGATAAAAGTTTCTCAACAGCTCTATGACCCAGGAATGTCATTCTTTCCCTCAACAAAAATTCCCCTCCAAAA